TATATATATATATATATATATATATATATATATATATTGTTTTGATTTTCATATAAATATATTTAAATATTAAAAATATAGTTTTTAAAATTCTTATTATTATCCAGCTATTTGCCAAACTATAATAAGAATAATCTAAATATATATTTTTCTTCTTATTATCATTATTCATTATTTGGCAAAAAATGTTAGAACATGTGTAATGTGTAAAAACATTCTAAACACCATAGCAACCGCATAGTAAAGCCCCAGGAACAACCTTAGACTCCTAGTGGACACTTTATACATCCATAGCTGCTTTCTCAGAAAATGATCACTCGTAATAATAAATGCATTTTCTCAGAAAACTGCCGAGAGCATGTATGTGAATTGTAAATGCACGCTGTATTTTTAAAGCTGTGCTGGATATCATATTAGGCAATATGAGTGTGTGTGAATGTGTGTGTGTTTGATTTTGTTGTCTAATCTATGCTGATGCTGAGAGATTATGTTGATTGATGGATAGGAAAGGCAGTCATTCAGTCGGAGGGGCAGAATTGATCTTTGCCTCAGGAGATGAGGGACACACACACACACATCTGAGAGCCATCAGTTGAGTGTGTGTGTGTTTGTGTTGGTATGGTGTGAGTGTGTTTCATATGTTTTCACATGCACTGTGCTTCTGATTTTGCTTGTCCAGTAAGTGTGTTGTCAGACAGAAGTGATGCCTGACGGTTTGGTTGTGTCGTGTGGGTGTGTGTGTGTGTGTGTGTTAGTGTACGTATAGTGTGAATGTGCTGCAGCTACTGTGTGTGTGTAAAGGCAAGATGCTTAACCTTTCAGTTTATTATGATTCTTTTTTTCTGCTGCAGGAAGCAGTGCTGAGCACAGACTATTTCTGCTCTAATGCACACGCACACAGTTCACACGTGCAAACACACACACACACACATACACGTTCAACGCTCTGCGTGATAAAGGGAATTAATGGAAGACAGCTCTAAATGACAGAATTACCCAGTGTCTCTTCTCACCGACTGGAGTTTAGTTAGTGGCGCTTGTGAAAGTAAGGATCACTATTACTCATAGTTAGTGTTAAATGTTTGTTCAGGGTTTTCATAAAAGTTATTATAGTAAACTAAAAATTAAAATATTAAAAAAGTTTTCATTACTTGCAAATAAATGTTAACTGAATAAAAAAACCTTATTTTATTTTAGCTAGTTGCCAAAACAACATTACTAATTTTTGTTTAGTTTAACTTGAAGTACCAAAATAACTAAAACTAATAAATAAAAATTAATAACAAATATAGATATATTTAAAACCAAGTGAAAACTGAAAATATATATATAAATAAAATATGATTAAAAATATTAACAAAAGCTATAAAAGTATATTAATAATACTAAAACAGCAATTATAAGTATTTTAAGTATTAAACTTTGAAAATCCCCTAGACTTGCATTGAACTTGGGATTTGAACCATATCTAGAAAATAGATATTTTCTTTTCGTTCTGATAACAAGAACTATCATATCAATGTTTTTCAATTCTGAGAATGAAATGAGCAATTAAAGCATCATATATACGAAAGCCAACCTTTTTAAAATTATTCTATTTGTTGTTACTTCCACAAAGCTAGAGCATCTTGACTTTTGCACAGGTGCCACTCACATTTTGATAAGAATCTATCTGAGGACTCAGTCTTTAGTTGATTAAGTGTCAGTCAGCCCGAGTCCTGATGGAGACACTGTAGATGAAACAGCCAGGTGTTACTGTAAACAGCACAGCATTTATGTTCATTTCTAGAGAAGACCATATGATTGTGTTTTTATATCCATGTGAACTGAAAATCACCACCACTTAGAGCTTATAATAAACACTACCGTCTAAGAGGAACATCTGCACAATCCATTTAGCTCCAGGTTAAATAGTCTCGACTGTTAGTGGTGTTTGCTAAGGCTTGCATCACAGCATTGCTTGTAATTAGGGTTAAAGATTTGAACAAACCCCAACACTAAGCAATAAACATCCCCACTCCGTGAAACACAGAAACACATACGGCAAAAAATATTTTTTTATAATACTTATTCTCTAAATATTTAAACAGTATTTTCTGAAAGATATATATATATATATATTTTTTTAATTATTATTATTTCATATATTTAAAATGTATGTTGTAAACTGTGGCTTAAGGAAATATATTTTTTAAATGTAAAATATTGTTCATTTAATCCTTAAAATATTAAATTTGCTAAATGTTTATTATGATTCTTTTTTTCTGCTGCAGGAAGCAGTGCTGAGCACAGACTATTTCTGCTCTAATGCACACGCACACAGTTCACACGTGCAAACACACACACACACACATACACGTTCAACGCTCTGCGTGATAAAGGGAATTAATGGAAGACAGCTCTAAATGACAGAATTACCCAGTGTCTCTTCTCACCGACTGGAGTTTAGTTAGTGGCGCTTGTGAAAGTAAGGATCACTATTACTCATAGTTAGTGTTAAATGTTTGTTCAGGGTTTTCATAAAAGTTATTATAGTAAACTAAAAATTAAAATATTAAAAAAGTTTTCATTACTTGCAAATAAATGTTAACTGAATAAAAAAACCTTATTTTATTTTAGCTAGTTGCCAAAACAACATTACTCATTTTTGTTTAGTTTAACTTGAAGTACCAAAATAACTAAAACTAATAAATAAAAATTAATAACAAATATAGATATATTTAAAACCAAGTGAAAACTGAAAATATATATATAAATAAAATATGATTAAAAATATTAACAAAAGCTATAAAAGTATATTAATAATACTAAAACA